CCCCAAAACCCCAAAACCCCAAAACCCCATGAGTGAGAATCATGAATTAAAATTTGATATGCGATTCAAGAATAAAATTTCTTGATGCAGCATTAAAAACTGCTAAAGATTCAATTCGATGTTTTGCGGAATTCCGCAGACAAAGAAAAGCTTCTACAGACATAGTTTTATGTTACCAAAAATATAAACATAGAAAACATGGATTGAGTGTGTATGAGTGAATAGGGAAGTGATTTTAATATTTATAGAAAAATTAATGCAATAAAACAATAAATGATGTTGTTTGTAGAACTACTCACTTCTTCTTTTGAGCGGCTTTGGTGACCATACCCTTTTGTTCCTTCTTGACGACTTCCTTGATGACTCCGACGGCAACGGTTTGCTTCATGTCTCTAACGGCGAATCTTCCGAGTGGTGGATATTGATTGAAGGCCTCAACGCACATTGGTTTTTGTGGGACCATTCTGACGAGGGCAGCCTCACCAGACTTGATGAACTTTGGCTCTTCTTCGAGGACCTTTCCGGATCTTCTGTCGACCTTTGATTCGATTTCGTCGAATTTGCAGGCAATATGGGCAGTGTGGCAATCGAGGACTGGAGCGTAACCCTTTTGGATTTGACCTGGATGGTTAAGAACGATAACTTGAGCGAGGAAGTTGGTGGTATCCTTGGCTGGGTCGTTCTTTGAGTCTGAAGCGACATAACCTCTTCTGAGATCCTTAACTGAGAGGTTCTTAACGTTGAAACCAACATTATCACCGGGCTCGGCCTCAGTGAGGGACTCGTGATGCATCTCGACTGATTTGCACTCAGTGGTGATGTTCATGGGAGCGAAGGTGAGGACCATACCTGGCTTGAGGAGTCCAGTTTCGACTCTTCCGACTGGGACAGTTCCGATACCACCGATCTTGTAGACGTCTTGGAGTGGGAGTCTGAGTGGCTTATCCTTGGGTCTCTTTGGTTGATCGAGAGCGTCGAGGGCGTCAATGAGGGTTGATCCAGTGAACCATGGCATGTTGGGTGATTTCTCCAACATGTTATCACCGTGCCATCCTGAGATGGGGATGAATGGAATCTTGTCTGGGTTGTAACCAATCTTCTTGAGATAGTCGGAAAGCTCCTTCTTGATTTCATTGAATCTTCCTTGATCCCAGTTGACTGATTTATCGTCCATCTTGTTGACGGCAACGATCATTTGCTTGACTCCCATGGTGAAGGCGAGGAGAGCGTGCTCTCTGGTTTGTCCTTCCTTGGAGATACCGGCTTCGAACTCTCCTTGACCTGAGGCAATGATGAGAATGGCAGCATCAGCTTGGGAGGTACCAGTGATCATGTTCTTGATGAAATCTCTGTGACCTGGGGCATCGATGATGGTGAAGACTGACTTGGCGGTCTCGAATTTCCAGAGAGCGATATCAATGGTGATACCTCTTTCTCTTTCGGCCTTGAGCTTATCAAGAACCCAGGCGTATTTGAAAGAACCTTTTCCCATTTCGGCGGCTTCCTTCTCGAACTTTTCGATGGTTCTCTTATCGATACCACCGCACTTGTAGATCAAGTGACCAGTTGAGGTTGATTTTCCAGAGTCGACGTGACCGATAACGACGAGGTTAAGATGATTCTTTTCCTTTGGCATGTTGTGTGAGTATATTTAATATCAAATAATGATAATATTTAATAGTAAGGCTCAGAGTTAAAAACAAATTAGCCAATCAAATCAAAGTTGAGAAAAGGTTTCACTCGAAAATAATTCACAACTCTCAATATATTAATTATTATTATTCCTTAATTAGGTTACTAGGGATTATTATTTACCAAAGGGGTTTTGGGGTTTTGGGGTTTTGGGG